TTTGCCTTGACTAGTTAGCATAGGGAGGTTTGACGATGAATTTTTGGTCTTTTTAGTTGTAGAAAATAGTTATTTTTAGACTTAAATATTAATGTTATCTTGAAATTAGTATTTTTATTATGATCAAGGATTAAGATACTCTGTTAGCTAGATTCTTTCCATACCCTACAGAAACATGAATTATGTCGATGAACTACATGCCAGTTTGATAGAGCTCTTCGTGCTTCACATTCTTTGTGAGAAGTGATTCTCTGACTAAAATTGATTTCCTATAATTCTCTTGGATAAACTCGGTGCATAAAGCGATTTTGCCCGTGAAGTGAATCAGAGAAGCTACCCTTTCAGCTCCTAGCCCCCTAGTTCATTTCAGAGGCTCCTAGCCCTCTGGTTTATTTCAGAAAATTACTTCAAAGAATTAGCAAAGAATCACTTCTCAGTAAATTAAGAAACTATTTGGTAGAACTTCTACTTGATTTAGCCAAGAAACTGCTTTGAGAGCTCTGCCAAACTTGCTCTGCTACTATGATATTTGATGTATGGGACCAGGACTGTGCCTCATTGCCTACATCACTCCCCAACTCGAAATGTTGGAGGGATTGTTAATTTGATTTTTTTAGTTTCCGCGTAGTTTGCTATCCTCATGAGCAATATAATAAACAATTCTTCCACGATGCCAAACATTTGGATGGTGACGATTTCAATGACTTGACTGAGTTCCGACGCCAGCACCGAACCTTAAATAAGAACAAAACCCATACGCCTGCATTCTATAAAACAAGACATATCTCGCTACCTGTACCTACCATACTGCACGTATCTTGTGCCATTTGGAAGAATCTAACTAAAAAAGACAGTACCACCATTGTGTCGCAACAGTTGGACGGCACAGCATTCTCCGAACAACTCACGGTTAAACCTCTGTTAGCAGGAACAATAAAACGCGAGAACCACTTTCACAGGAAGTAAACAAGAAGTACCAACTCCATTTTCGCAGAAAACAAAAGGCACAGCTTCTTTCCCAAAGGAAAAAAAAAACCCCGCCATTTTCTATCTAGAGTACATATACGGAGCAAATAATCTTTGCTCCGGCCTACTTTGAAAATCAAAGCAGTTCTGTTAAAAGTTAGAATCGCGTACGGCATCGAGAGCGGCTCTCTTGCATGGTTTCTGTTGGCCTCATGGTGAAGGGCCTTGGCGAGTGTCTGGATGGTCATTGGTCACAGGCTCGCATCATCACCTAGGCCAGCAAATCCCGCTGCAGACAGGCGATAGAACAAGACACATTTCTGGTTCTGAATTAGTTGTTAAACTTCCCAGCGCCAACCATATAAAAAAATTACGTCAGTGCGTTGGCTGCTGTCGACAGCTTTATTTGCCACAGCAAAATTCACTTCATCCTGGTTCCACAGGTTCAGTGCTGACTATGTACGTGGCACAAGAACAGAAACGGTCCAGGTTGATGGCTCCAACTATAGATAGGCCAAATGGACGACACAGCAGGGCGCGGTCGACAGTATCAACACTGATAGCTTTTTTTTTCTTTTGAAATGAACATTGATAGCTTAGTAGGTTGTGCTGCTTGACAGGCTTAACCTGAGGCACAAGCGCAACACTCGGTAAGGTTAACCGTGCTGTGCTGAATTAGTGAGATTGGTGGGCCTAATGGGTCATACTAGCCCAGTTAGCCCATTCGACTCATACTTTACAAGCAGAGTTTGCAAGGTGTCAATGATACCTCATCGCATGAAAAACAACCCAAATAGGATGCGGTATATCGAGAAGGCTACTCGAAAGTCCCAACCAGACTGAGGTATCTCATCTAACCTGAAGGTGTGTTCTCGAAAAAAAAATCTAACTTGGAAGACAAGACATAGTAAGATGTACTTGGAAACCAACTCTATCCGATAGACTTCTTTATAACGAACTAGGAAACCTTTATGTAAACCGATCGAGATTGTATCTACAACTTCACCCCTGAACTATGTAAGGAGAGGTGGACAGCCCCTAATCAATATCTTCTCATACCTCATTATATCTCAATACCATCTAGGCAATTAGGCTCGCATAACCATCAAGGCCGACACCGAGCATACAAGATAAGAGAGCTATTCTCCACTAGACATAGGGTACCCCGTACATAAACCAGTATAAATATATGTCATGTGTGCTACCCATATGATTCCCTGTTCACAATCCATAGATCTTCATTGTCGGATCTAATAATTCTGACATAAGGGGTGAAGGCGAAAGGCGGAGGGGATCTCGGCCGTGATCACCTCCACCTTCGATGCAGCAACTCAAATCTATGGTGGTGGTGTAACTCCGAGGAAGAAAACAAGACAGGTGGGGGAGGGAACGAGCGTTACGTGAGCACGTCATCGAGGTGGTCGTGAGTTTGATACATGACATGACAGGGGAGGAGAGTGGGGTGAGCTTCAAGTGCAAGGTGAGCGGCAAATAGGAGGGGGAGGCTAGGGCAAGCGGAGAACGAGTGGTGTAAGAGAGGGAAGCTATAGAGGGAGCATAGGCGGAGCTGGGGAAGGGACTTTAGCTTAGACGTGGTATCCTCTATTTTGTATTTGGGCCTTGGAGATAGAGGGAGCATAGGCGGTGACAAGGAGCTGGGGAAGGGACTTTAGCTTAGATGTGGTGTCCTCTATTTTGTATTTGGGCCTTAGATGTTGGAGGACCGAGATTAGGTCAGCCATTAATCGGGTCATGCAAATGAAGGCATGCTAGCACTGCATGATGAGGTTGCGGCTAGACATGACCCTTGTGTATCATTCCGTGCTAGTCTAGGTATGGCTGCAATGGTCAGACCTTCCTTGTGTTGTGCTTTTAACGTGCCATGGCTCCCTAGTTGGAGGCGGGTCTATTTTTTTATGGTTCAATGACACCAATGAAGTCTGCAAGCTAAGTGCAACTCAGCTGGTTGGGTTGTTTGTTGTGGAACTTACTTACCCTGATTGAAGTCATCAACTTAGCATAGTTGCTCCCATTTCCATAGATTTAATGGCATTGTTGTTTTAATTGTTCTTTTAGTGTTAGGCGACCTGCCCATTAATAGCGAGCACTACTACAGAAAACTTTACCGAGGCGGGCATCGCAACAGCCTCGGTCAAAAAGGTCACGGTTAATGGGACATTTTTCGAGGCGGTTGGATGCCCGCCTCGGTACATCGAATAAAAAAACACAAAAAAGGAAAACCTATGGATAAGCCCGGCGAACCCATCCACGGGCCCGCCGAGCCCATCCACGCCCCGCCGCCGCCGTAGCTGCTCGCCGATGTGAGCATCCTTGTCGGATCCAGTCGCCCGCTGCCAGATCCGCTGCATCCTCACCGGAGACGCAGGTCGAAGACGCCGGATCCACTACACCCACGCGGGATCCGCTGCGTCCTCGCCGGAGACGCTGCGTCCTCACCAGAGACGCGGGTCGGAGATGCTGGATCCACTACACCCACGCCGGATCCACGCGCATCCCATCCGGGAGAGGAAGAGGAGAGGGTCGCCGGTGAGGGAGAGGGCGCTGGGCGCAAGATCCACGCCACCCTGGCCGCTGCCGAGCCGGATCCGCACGCGTCGTATCCTCTCCTCGCCGGATCCGCACGCCCTGCCCCCGCATCCGCGTCCTCTCCTCGAGGAGAAGCGCTCCCTGGCCGCCGCTGGGAGGGACCCTGGGGGCGCGCCGCCACCGTAGTCGAAGCCATGCGCCTGGATCCACCGGAGGCCCCACGCTGCAGCCGGAGCGCTGCACTGCCGGAGGACCCGTCGGAGGAGGCCGCTGGGGAGGGGAGGAGCGGCGGCGCTGCTCGGGAGGGAGGGGGCGCTGAGTCGCTAAGGGAGGGGAACGGCGCTAAGAAAGTGAGGGGGAAGGAATCGGGAGAGAGAGGTAGAGGGGGCGCGTGCTCGTGGGAGGCAGAAGGGGCGCCGCGCGGCCGCTACGGGGAGGGGCTAGGGAGTGGGAGAGAAACGATTCATGAGAAACCCTAAGTGTGTGGCTTATATATGAGCCCGGCACAGGAAAAGATATGGGCTTTGCGAGCTGGGCCGGTATTTACGGAGGCGGGCCTTGTAGCTGCTCGCCTCCAAAAATCTATTTACGGAAGACGACCGCCTCCGAAAATAGATGATTTTTGGAGGCGGTTTTCTTAAGGCGCCCGCCTCCGTAAATCGATTTTACGAGGCGGAAAAATGTAACCGCCTCGGTTAATAAAAAACGACCGCCTCGGTTAATGCCGTAGCCGGCCCAACCGCCTCCGAGGCCCAATCTGAAACGCATTGGAAAAGGTTTTTTTTTTAGTAGTGGAGGCACCCAACTTAGTCTTAGACTTTTGAAGATACTTCTAGGAGGAGTAGGCTATAAATCCATAATTGGACGACATTGTTCTTTTAATGATAATGCGGTAATTTCGTCAATGTCAAGATTTACTGGTTGAGTTCTTTGAAGTTGCTCATTAAGTGATGTGTATACATTCATAAAGGTGAGTGCACGTGCATGTTTGAGTGTTTTTATGTATGTACCGTGATTCATTAAAAAAAAGAAGTTTTGGCAATATGCTTATTATCCTTTTTAAATTATTATTATGATAAAACGGAGATGACGCCAATGGCTACGCTCTGATTCTAGATCCGCCCCTGGTGCCCGTGCCCCATGTCACCCGTCTGCCCCTCCCGGCCATTTGGCCCTGTACTGTATAGCAACAATGTCCATTTGTCTGAGTTATTAGCATGTCTGTCTCTTCACAGGTGATGAGTTCCAAATAAAATTGAGGTTGACGGTTCTTATGTAAAGGGTGCCAACTGCCAATTCACATCCCGCGAATCCTTTAGCTTCGTTGAATCCTAAGGTGGCCGTCCAGCAGGCCGGAATCTCCGTCCCGTCCAAAACTCCAAACAATTTGGCATCATCGTCAGGAGCTGCACCCGAGGGCTGCCTTTTTATCAAACCCATCGCCACCGCTTGGCGATACATGGTTCTTGCATTGTGCCGGCGCCTGCATGGATGACTTCTCCTTCTCCCGCTCCGGCACGCACCAGCCGCGCCGGCAGCGGCAAGCAGCAGGCGCGCGCGGTCCGTTCTCCACCGTGGACAACTCCGCCACCTCCTTCGCCACCACTACGCCTCGGGGGATACTGCGGCGGCGCCGGGGCGGCGGCCTCGAGGACACGTCGTGGCAGAGCTCCGTGTCCTGGCAGCCGGACACGTCGTGGGCGCAGCCGCACGGCCTCGGCGCCGCGGTGGGGCCATGGGCCCCCGCTGGGTCGGACGCCGCGTCGCGGCGCGGGCCGGCGCTGTTCCGCCGCACGGCCAGGGACTACTACCTGTCCAAACGCTCCAGCCGGATGATGTACCGCGACCGCTCGTCCGCGGCGCAGCAGTCCCGGTCCCGGTCCGTGGTGGCTGCCGGCGGCAACAAGCGGCTGGAGCTGCAGAGTGTCGTCACCGACGCCAGCCGCGCCATCGTCGTCGCGCCCAACACCTCTTTCGCCAGTAACGACGACATCGTCAGCACAGCCACCGCCGGTGGCCGAGGCGGCTCCGGGAACAACGCCATGGTGAAGTACAGCGACACGTACATGTCCCGCGAAGTTTCCTTCTCGCGCGACAACCACGACAAGCTCTACGTTCCGGCGCGGCGGGACCGGGGCGCGCCGAGCTTTGGCTACGACGTCAGCGTCACGTCCTACAGCCGGAGCCAGTACTACGACGGCGACGGCGGGGACGGGGACGAGGACGACTACGACTTCGACTTGTACGACGACGACGAGATCGAGGTGAGGATCGGGAAGCCTGTCAGCATCGCCGGGCTGTTCAAGTACTCGGCGCCGCTGGACATCCTCCTGCTCGTTCTTGGGTGCGTTGGCGCCATGATCAACGGTGGATCTCTGCCCTGGTACTCGTACCTCTTCGGGAATTTCATCAACAAGGTTGTCAGCAGCGATAAGTCGCAGATGATGAAGGACGTCAAGCAGGTAATTAAGTTATATGCTGATTGATGATGCTAGCTGCCATAAGCCTGAAATTAATTCTGATTTAGCAAGTTTTCTATTTACACCACTACCTTGTTGGATAAAATGCAGATCAGCTTTTACATGTTGTTCCTTGCTGCCGCTGTTGTCATAGGAGCGTATCTTGGTAAGCATGAATAATGTCTGCACGCGTGTTCAGTTCTTGATGATCAACTCTGCAAGCGCACGCGTGCAGAGATCATGTGCTGGAGGATGATCGGCGAGAGGTCGGCGCTGCGTATGCGGCGGGAGTACCTCAAGGCGGTGCTGAGGCAAGAGATCGGCTTCTTCGACACGGAGGTGAGCACCGGCGAGGTGATGCAGAGCATCTCCAGTGATGTCGCTCAAATCCAGGACGTCATGGGAGACAAGGTAACAGAGGAAGCTACTGTAGTGCTTGCTTGCCACTGAACATACATAGTACTGTACAGGACTGAAAGTTAGATTAACACTGTTCAATCTGTCTGAAAGATGGCAGGATTTGTGCATCATGTCTTCACCTTCATCTTCGGCTACGTGGTGGGCTTCATCAAATCATGGAAGATTGCTCTCGCCGTCTTCGCCGCGACACCCGTGATGATGTCCTGCGGCCTCGCCTACAAGGCCATCTACGGCGGCCTCACCGCCAAGGACGAGGCGTCGTACAAGCGCGCCGGCAGCGTGGCGCAGCAGGCGATCAGCTCGATCCGAACAGTGCTCTCCTTCGTCATGGAAGACCGGCTGGCCGACAGGTACGCCGAGTGGCTCAACAGGGCGGCTCCCATCGGCATCAAGCTGGGGTTCGCCAAGGGCGCCGGCATGGGGGTCATCTACCTGGTCACCTACTCCCAGTGGGCGCTGGCGCTGTGGCTCGGCTCGCGCCTGGTCGCCCGGGGTGACATCAAGGGCGGCGATGCCATCGCCTGCTTCTTCGGCGTCATGGTCGGAGGGAGAGGCCTGGCGCTGTCGCTGTCCTACTTCGCGCAGTTCGCGCAGGGCCGGGTGGCGGCAGGGCGGGTGTTCGAGATCGTCGACCGGGTGCCGGACATCGACGCCTACGGCGGCGGCGGCCGGTCGCTGTCGTCGGTGAGGGGGCGGATCGAGTTCAAGGACGTGGAGTTCGCGTACCCGTCGCGGCCGGAGGCCATGATCCTGTACAACCTGAACCTAACCATCCCGGCGGCCAAGATGCTGGCGCTCGTGGGCGTCAGCGGCGGGGGCAAGTCCACCATGTTCGCGCTCCTCGAAAGGTTCTACGACCCGACGCGGGGGATCATCACGCTGGACGGCCAGGACCTGTCGTCGCTCAACCTGCGGTGGCTCCGCTCGCAGATGGGGCTGGTCGGGCAGGAGCCCGTCCTGTTCGCCACCTCCATCGTCGAGAACGTGATGATGGGGAAGGAGAACGCGACGAGGCAGGAGGCCATCGCCGCCTGCGCCAAGGCCAACGCGCACACCTTCGTCCACGGCCTGCCGGACGGCTACGACACGCAGGTCGGCGACCGCGGGACCCAGTTGTCGGGGGGACAGAAGCAGCGCATCGCCCTCGCGCGCGCCATCATCCGGGACCCGCGCATCCTGCTGCTCGACGAGCCCACCAGCGCCCTGGACGCCGAGTCCGAGGCCGTCGTGCAGCAGTCCATCGAGCGCCTCTCCGTCGGCCGCACCGTCGTCGTCATCGCGCACCGCCTCGCCACCGTCCGCAACGCCGACACCATCGCCGTGCTCGACCGCGGGGCCGTCGTCGAGTCCGGCCGCCACGACGACCTCGTTGCTCGGGGCGGCCCGTACGCTGCCCTCGTCAAGCTCGCGTCGGACAGCGGCAGGTCGTCGTCTGACGGCGCCTCCGGCCCTGCCAGCAAATTACCTGCAGCTCCTGCCGGCGGCGGCGCGACGGGGTACAACAGCTTCACCGACGACTCAGGCGTCTACGACGACGACATTTTGTCGTCCGTATCCAAGTCAAGGTACGGCGGAGGCGCTCGTCGGACGTTCCCCCGAGAAGAGGCGGATGTTCGCGCAAAGACCAAGGACGACACCAGCGATAGCAAGGTCAGTGTGTCAGAGATCTGGAAGCTGCAGCGGCAGGAAGGCCCGCTGCTGATCCTGGGCTTCCTCATGGGCATAAACGCCGGCGCGGTGTTCTCGGTGTTCCCGCTGCTGCTGGGGCAAGCCGTGGAGGTGTACTTCGACGCCGACACCTCCAAGATGAAGCGGCAGGTGGGTGCTCTGGCCATGGCCGTGGTCGGCCTCGGCGTGGCGTGCATCCTGACCATGACGGGGCAGCAGGGGCTGTGCGGGTGGGCGGGCGCCCGGCTCACGATGCGCGTCCGCGACCGCCTGTTCCGCGCCATCATGCGGCAGGAGCCCGGGTGGTTCGACGAGGAAGACAATGCGATGGGCATCCTGGTGACGAGGCTGGCACGGGACGCCGTGGCGTTCCGGTCCATGTTCGGGGACAGGTACGCCGTGCTCCTCATGGCCGTGGGCTCCGCCGGCGTGGGGCTCGGCATATGCTTCGCGCTGGACTGGCGGCTCACGCTCGTCGCCATGGGCTGCACGCCCCTGACGCTCGGCGCCAGCTACCTGAACCTGCTCATCAACGTCGGGGCCAAGACGGACGACGGCGCGTACGCGCGGGCCAGCAGCATCGCCGCGGGCGCCGTGTCGAACGTGCGCACGGTGGCCGCGCTGTGCGCCCAGGGCAACATCGTCGGCACCTTCAACCGGGCACTGGACGGCCCCCTGTCCAAGGCCCGTCGGAGGTCGCAGGTCATGGGCGTCATCCTCGGCCTCTCCCAGGGCGCCATGTACGGCGCCTACACGGTGACGCTCTGGGCCGGCGCTCTCTTCATCAAGAGGGACCTGTCCAAGTTCGGCGACGTGTCAAAGATCTTCCTCATCCTCGTGCTGAGCTCCTTCTCCGTCGGCCAGCTGGCCGGCCTCGCCCCGGACACGTCCGGCGCGCCGGTGGCCATCGCCGGCATTCTATCCATACTGAAGCGGCGTCCGGCGATCAGCGACGAGAACGGCAGCGGCAAGAGGCGAACAATCAAGAACGGGAGGCCCATCGACGTGGAGCTGAAGAGAGTGGTGTTCGCGTACCCGTCGCGGCCGGAGGTGACGGTGCTGAACGAGTTCTCGGTGCGCGTGAAGGCGGGGAGCACGGTGGCGGTGGTCGGCGCCAGCGGGAGTGGCAAGTCGACGGTGGTGTGGCTGGTGCAGCGCTTCTACGACCCGGTGGATGGGAAAGTGATGGTGGGCGGCATCGACGTGCGGGAGCTGGACCTCAAGTGGCTCCGGGGGGAGTGTGCCATGGTGGGACAGGAGCCAGCTCTGTTCAGTGGATCCATCAGGGAGAACATCGGCTTCGGCAACCCAAAGGCTTCGTGGGCCGAAATCGAAGAGGCTGCCAAGGAGGCCAACATCCACAAGTTTATTGCTGGGCTACCACAAGGCTATGATACTCAGGTAAGCAATTTCATTTTTTTTTCAAGCAAAAAATTATTCTGAGCAAAACCTGACCGGCTGAGATTGTTTTTTTCCCGAGCAGGTCGGAGAGAGTGGGGTCCAGTTGTCAGGAGGGCAGAAGCAGAGGATCGCCATCGCACGAGCAATCCTGAAGCAGTCCCGGATTCTGCTTCTGGACGAGGCCAGCAGCGCGCTGGACCTGGAATCCGAGAAGCACGTGCAGGAGGCCCTGAAGAAAGTGTCACGGCGTGCGACGACGATCGTGGTGGCGCACCGCCTGTCCACGATCCGCGAAGCCGACCGCATCGCCGTCGTCACCAACGGGAGGGTCGCCGAGTTCGGCAGCCACCAGGAGCTCCTAGCGACCCATTGCGACGGCTTGTACGCCGCCATGGTTAAGGCAGAGGTGGAAGCGCAGGCATTCGCATAGGAGATACGTACTCTGATTAAAAAAAAATCTTGTGGGACCAAATTTTTATTTTTAAGTGATTTATTGAAAACCCTTCGAGATAACCTTCTATATTCCTCCTAATACTTTTTTTTTTGAAGTTACAAAACTCCATGTTTTTGACAGAAAATATTGGATACTTTTAAAGATGCTCTTCCTAATGAAAGTAATAGTTAGCAGCACTCTAACTAATAATTAGTATGTTTATTATTAGTAGATCTGTTTGGATCCACTGGTATTAATTTTAGCTGTTAATTGTTAGTGCAAATGGATCTAAGCAGCCCAAAGTGCTAACCTTATTGGCTAGGCGGCGTCCTCCGTGATAGACGCAGCTCCATCTGGGTCTGGCCGTAGGGCCATAGCTCCACTGGCCGAGCGGGCCTGCAGCGGCAGGCGAAGGCCAACATCTCGGCCCCGGTCTGGCCGTGCAGGCCACATGCATGCCACAACCAGGCTACCAAGTATGCGGATCTGTGTTGCTTGCCGATTGCACGAACGTCATTCTTGGTTGGCACTCCCTCTATTTCAAATCATAATATGTTTTAACTTTTCTAGATTCTTATATTTTATTATGCACTTAAATATACACTATCGTTACGTATATAATAAAAGTATTATATTAAAAAATAAAAAAGCTAGACACATCTTATAATTTAAAATAAAGGGAGTAATTACTAATTTGCCATTACCATTCTCAATTCTCAAATCTCAAATCTAAGTTGTTGGTACGAGCTCTGTTGCCTCCGTTCCTTGCCAAGCAGGCGATTGAATCATTAATTGATTATGCCAAATTTTGTAGAGTTGTATAGTGAGAATAGGACCGAGATATTAAAATACCTTTTTCTTTCTCTTACTTCTGCTACAATTATGCAACCGGTGTCACAAATCCAACCTTCTGCACAAGCATAATTAAAAGTAGTGTAAGAAACACAGGTTGTCAAAGAAACAGCAGTAGAAAGTAGAAGAACCACCTGACAATACAAATGGTTTGCAAAATAATCTTCAAGTTATCCCTAATGGCGATGACATTGTTCCTGATCCTCGGCTTTTCGGATACCGATTGGGCAGATGGATCCAAACATTAGGAATGTAGTTAAAACAGTTTAGATTTCGAAGGGTCCGTGCCAACTAAAAGGTTCATATGATGTTGTTACTATATTGCTAATATTTTTAAGGAGCTCTTGCATTTTTACTCCTGTTTTGTATCGAAATTGTGATTTTGTCCCTGTTTTTTTTACTTTGTGAATTTATCCCTGTGTTTTCAAAACGAAGCACTACTTTGCCCCTATTCCGTCGTCCTCCCCTAATGGTGTTAACATTTGTACAAAATGGCAGAAATGCCCATATGATTTTGCCCCTGTTTGTTATGTCTATTTGTGATTTTACCCCTGATTTGGAATTAGACATTTATATTGTAATGTTGACAAAAATGATTACATTTGATCAAATATATTTGGCACAACTCGCAATTATTTCGATTCTGATTTAATATTGAAAAACTATTCAAAATTTTGGCAGCTCATTAGCAATATTGTATAATCTTTAACAAGGAGCCATCAACTCAACACAAACTAGTTTTCGAAAAAGAAACACAAATCCATAACACGCAGCACTGCCGTATCCATGCAAGCATGTGGATTCGTCTCAAAATAGTCCAACGCGGACCGCATGTAGGCGTCCGTCACGGCCCCCGCGGCGCCGCACACCAACCGCACAGCGCGTGGTAGAGAGCCAGAGACGACGCCAGCTCCCCCGCGGGGCACGCGGCGCTGGTCTGCACGATAGCGTTGGGCGTTGGCAAAGTACCCCGCGGGGAGCGGAACTGCGGCCGCCCATCCACCGCGAACCAGCGGCGGATCCAGGGAAATTTTTAGGCGGGGCTGATCCTTCACATACCTCCGACTGCTGCTCGATCTTAAGTCTCAGCCCCATCTACACCATAGAACTTTACCTAAAAATTCATGGGGACTCCACTGCTCTGGTATCGGTAGGGGGGGGCTCGAGCCCCCTCCACCCCCGCCCCACTGTTGCATCTGCCCCTACAGCGAACAGCAGCTTGCTCCGCCGCGACGGCCGTATCCCCAGCGCCCGCTCCACACGAAGCCGGCCAGTGCCTCGAACGTGGTGCACGCACGGCCCTCCAGCGCCACCGCCGCCTTGACGCGCGCGATGGACGCGGGCGTGAACCGGAACGAGCGGTGCTGGGTGCAGGAGCGGGGAGTCCGAGTCGTCCTCGTCCCCGTCGTCGTCATCATCGATGATCTGGGCGAACTCGTGGTGCGGGAAGAACGAGACTGCGGCGTGCGCCCCTAAGCCGGACCCGGACGAGACCCGCAGTCGGGCACCGCCGCCGCCCGGCGCGTGCACGACGAAAGGCACGCCGCGCCCAGCGCTACTGGAACAAGAGCCGCGATGCGAGAGGCCCGAGGTCGGAGGGGCGCTGCACCGCTGCCGCGCCCTACTCTACCAGTGCAGAAGCGCCGCCGAGATCGGTGCAAGACCCACGACCCCGCGCCAGATGCGCCTGTGCCCGATGCAGCCTGGGTCGGATGAGGAAGATCCTAGCGATAAGGATAAGGGGCAGTGTGGTCATTTTGTCTTTCCTTTTTAGATTTGGATTTTTTTAAAATCATTTATTCCCTGCCCATCTAAGGACATCCAAAGTAGGGGCAAACGGATCGTTCATTTCAAACTAGCAGGGATAAAATCATAAAATTGAAAAAATAGAGATAAAATCACAATTGGAGCACTGGATAGGGACAAGATCACAATTTTCCCTATTTTTAAATATCAGTTTTATGTGTAGGTTCAAGTTCATATGATGCTATTGACGAAGATACAAGAGGCGAGGGCGAACCAAACCATCATTACTTAGGTATTTTTTAACCTCCTTTATGTTTCCATCAATTATGCTCTGGATTAAAATATGGAATTGAGATATCTTCAAAACTTATGTATTTATGAGCTTGTTTTGTTATCTATCTGTAATATCGTGGGCCGGGTCGGATCCGCTGCACACTGTAACAAGTGGTATTAAAGCCTATAGTCAGAAAGCCTAGAATTTCAGAGGTTACGTGGTGACGAGAGAGCCCATAATGTCTAGGAGGATCACATGGATTGTGTGACATGGAGGGTTAGGGCTTGGATAATGTCTTCGGAGATCACACGAGGCGTGTGATGTGACGAGTTAGGTCCAATGTATGATGGGGGAGATTGTTTGGTTTATTCCTATATTGAAAATTGATGATGGAGGAGCACAATGTATAAGGCCAGGCAACCATCAACGAACTAGCAGTGATAACCTACCCACTTTCACAAACATCGACAGACCATACAGCGAAAAAAATTCTCTCAACCCTTCGGTTGCCAGGCCAAGTGACCACGCACAAGCGATCTTGGCAATAGTGCTTGCCCATACCAGAGTCCATTCCGCACCCTCCCCAATTTCATTAATATCCATTTGACCGAACCCACCGAATAATGATTGAAGACCTCCTTCGGAAGAACTCCAGCTTTGACTTTGTTTGCGGCTCTTGTTATGGAGCTGTGGCTAACAACCATCTAAAAAGCGACTCCTTGAAAGGAGTTCGGAGGAGCCAGAGTTGTGTTTGTATTGAGAAGTCACAAAACATGGCTTCTCCTTGCTCATACTCACAAACTTATTAGCACTAGAACCATTTTTGTCAAACATTTTCTAAAGCGACTTCAACTTTCACAAGAGCCGCAGCAAGAGCCTTTTGACGAGGAGTCGGAATCCTATCAAACTGGCCCGAGGCTAACATGTGCTTGGGATAGGAATACTCTTTGACCATCAAATGATACTAGAGAATATATCAAATGGTTATACTATATTTGTTGTTCTCTAGTATCATTTGAAAAAAAAGAGTTCTACCTCCGAATGAAAGGTGCTATAAGAAAAAAAATGTTTTGCCGACCTATTTTTTTTTTCTATCAAAATTGTAAATTGTCTTTTAATTTGTGAGCTGTCTTTCTAGTTTTGAAAGAACGAGTTGTCTTTTATGTTGCATTAGTTGTTTGTGTAAGATTGTTGCATAAAAATTTCTAGCAACTCCCAAAACAAACCCAGCCAGCCCAGAATACACAACCACAAGAAAATTAAAGTCGTCCAATCTGTCCCACATCAAGAGGCAGCTAGTACATCAACCATTACATACACTCTCGTGGCTCAAGTGATCACCACTGATCATATTGCTGATGCTGACACCGTATATATATATATATATATATATATATATATATATATATATATATATATATATATATATATATATATATATATATATATATATATATATATATATATATATATATATAGAGAGAGAGAGAGAGAGAGAGAGAGAGAGAGAGAGAGAGATAGAGATAGAGATAGAGTAATCAACCACCCGTCGTGCCGGCGACGTTGATTGTTGATCTCTATCTAATACTAAAAAACCAAAATTTCTGCCAATAAAAAGTTTTCGTCCAACTTTCCACGTGCTCGGTCACCTACGATATTTTTTTTGTCCGTCTATTTTTTTCCAAACGGCGATGCTACAATGTTATACAGCCTGTTCGTTTGCTCGTATACGATCGTGGATTATAAGCTGGAACAGTATTTTTCTCAAACACCAAACCAGCCAGCAGTAAATAATCCACGATCATTTACGATGAAAATAACAGGCTGATATATATTACCAGGGACTCAGATCGAACCGGGTCAGTCTTGGTTAGACAGCTCAAAACTAATTCTGTTCGATCACGCTCTCAATCAAATCAAACCACAAACATCTACCAACTACGGAGCCTATAAATCAACATGCACCTGATCGAATAATCAAACCACCAGTAAATCCATCTAGCTAGCTTTCGTTTCGTACAACGATGCCACTCGCCGCTGCAGGTGCTCTACCACTCGCCGTCACCGACATGCTGCACGACATCCTGTGCCTTCCTGCCAATGAGGTCTGCCGCATGCAGCTGGTGTGCCGGACGTGGCGGTCGCCGACGTCCGACCCACACATCGCTAGGGTGCACTCCACGCGCCGTCCGGCACCACACGTCATCGTCATCCGCCACCACGATGAAGACGAGGTAGTAGCTGATCATGAGGTCCGCGTCGTGGACCTGCACGGCAAAGTCATCAAGTGGAGGCGGATTCGACGGCCCATCGGCCGCCTGATGATCGTGCACGGCGACTTGCTCTGCGCCTCCCACGGCTGGGGCCTGACCTGCGTGGTGGACATGGTCGCCGGCGCTGTTCCCGACGTGGCTGCCGAGCACAGGAAGAAAGTCAACTCAGCGACGCCCCATTGCGTGCTCGGGCACGTCCCGGCCACCGGAGAGTACAAGGTGCTCCGCATCCAAGCAGATTATTTGAGTAGGTGGCGGCGGCAGACGTGCGAGGTCTGATACTGGGTGGCATTGTTGGCGATGCCGGAAGGTGGAGATGGAGACCGTGCCCTCCGGTCACCCTCGGTATCAAGCCCGGGTCCAGCTCCTGGAACGTTGCGGTTGTCGCCGGGCTCGCCTGCTTCCTGGCAGACGAAATCGACGTGGAGGCAGATCGCCTAGCTATATTCGACCTGGCGACGGAGGAGTGGAAACCAGCGACGCTCCAAGAGCCCTTGACATGCGGTGCAGATCGCCTTCTAGCTAGCATGGACGACGAGGACGAAGACGACGAGCTCATCATGCAGCTCATCATGACGCTCATCATGCCGCCCTATCGTCCTCTTGTTCTTCTTCATAGGAAACATTGTCAGCTGGCCAGGTTGGGCGAGAGTTCGGTGGTACTCTACTACAACGTCAAGAATGGCTCGATGGAGCTCTGGTTCCTGGAAGACATGAAGAATGACACGACGGCGCGCTGGAGCAAACGGTACACGTTGCAGTGCACGCTGTTTGGAAATGATGAGTCCCTGCACTATAACTACTATCCGCTCCGGTTCTAGATGATCGTAAGATACTCGTGTGAGTGAGTGGACAGGACATCTGCACATCTGCACTGAGACTGTCTCCAACATCCGTTACCTAAAATATAAGATCCATTTTACATTTGGGTAGCGTTACAGGTAAAGAGTTCAATACCTATTTTTGATCTTCTCCAACAACGAGATCCAAAACAGAACCCTTTCTGCAAATAGGTCTACAAGAGAGAGGATACTCAGATTTATGTTATACATCTCCTATCTTCCATATAGGTACTCTGTTGGAGGCTATATGTATTCTGTTGGAGATCTATTTTGGATTTGGGTCTCCTGATAGATCTCCTGTTACATTGATAATAATATGACAATGCTCTATTAAATCTCCTCGAAGAAGCTCAAGGCCGGGAGCATACGCTCCCGAGACATGTACATGGACTTATTTGGCCACGCTGACAGAAAATTCTGTTTTCAAATCTTTGGGTGGCCCGGCCTTGAGCTTCTTTGAGGAGATTTAACAGAGCATTGTCATATTATTATCAACATTAGTTTATATTATAGTTGTCATGGATATTATTAAATAAATTATAAAATAAAAATCTATTAACATACATATTTTTATAGCTTCTTTTCTTTGTAACGCACGGATAAATTCGCTAGTACTTGATAATGCAGCGGATTAATTGAACTAGAGCTTTGAGTTTGAGTCGCCGGCGATGTCGATGACGAAGCGGTAGCGGACGTCGTTGCGCGCCAGGCGCGCGAGCGCCTCGTTGATCCCGTCCGTGGAGACGAGCTCGATGTCGCAGGTGATGTTGTGCTTGCCGCACAGGTCCAGCATCTCCTGCGTCTCCTTCATTCCTCCCGTCATGCTCCCGCTCACCGTCCTCTTCCCAAAGATGAGCGGGAACGACGGGAGCTCGACGGGCTGGTCCGGCGCGGCGACGAGCACGAGCTTGCCGTTCACCTTGAGCAGCTCCAAGATGGGGCCCAGCGAGTGCTTGGCCGAGACGGTGTCGATGACGTAGTCTAGGCTTCTCGCCATGGCCTGCATCTGCTTCTGGTCGGTGCTGACGACGAAGTGGTCGGCCCCGAGCCGCTCCTTCGCCTCCCTCTCCTTGGCCGGCGACGTGCTGATGACGGTGACGCGGAGGCCGAACGCCTTGGCGAACTTGACGGCGACGTGCCCCAGTCCGCCGAGCCCCACCACGCCCAGGCTGCCGCCGGGGGAACGCAGCATGCCGTGGTGCTTCATGGGGCTGTACACCGTGATGCCCGCGCACAGCAGCGGCGCGGCGGCGTCCAGCGGGAGGGCGTCCGGGACGCGCACCACGAACCGCTTGTGCGCCACCAGCATCCGGGAGTAGCCGCCGTACGTGACGCTGCCGTCCCAGAAGACGCCGTTGTAGGTGAGCGTCACCTTGTCGCAGTAGTTCTCCTCTGACCGACGGCAGTGGTCGCAGTCCAGGCAGGAGGCGGCGATGCAGCCCACGCCGACGCGGTCGCCGACGCTGAAGCCGGAGACGTTGCTCCCCAGCTTGGTCACCACGCCCGTGATCTCGTGCCCCGGGACCAGCGGGTACATGGTGATGCCCCAGTCGTTCTGGATGAAGTGCAGGTCGGTGTGGCACATGCCGCAGTACTGCACCTTGATCGTCACGTCGTCCACGCCGTTCTCCCTGCATGCCCAACAAACCAAACCAAAGGATTGTTATCGATCTGGACAGCAGAGCTGAAATCAAATGAGCGCATTTGATCTGTACCTTCTCTTAAAGACGAAGGGCTCGACCTTGCTAGACTCGTTCATGGCCGCCCACCCGGCCACGGTCTGGGTGTGGTTTGGTGTCACCTCCATGGCTCTCTGCTCTGCGTCTGTGCGTGAGTGCGTGTGCGTGTGCGTGTGCGTCCTCGGAACAGGCACTCAGAGAGTGAGAGCGAGAGAGACTCAGAGAGAGCGAGCGCGAGAGAGAGATTCTGGGGTGTCTTATTAGTTGGCTGTGATTGAAACTGCAGGAGGCACGGGTTATTTAAAGAGAGCACGCGGTTGACGAGGGCTCTGATCGCTTTCTAAAGGCCGCAATTTGGAGCTTCTTTATGCTATACTTTATTTATTGGAGTAGTTATATTATTAATTAACGTACTGCGGGTACAATTTCCTTGTCAACCCCGGGCGATTTCGTCAGATCGATTTGAAAATTTGTTTATCGTATTTTAATGGGTAAAGTATAATTTACACCCTCCAACTATCGCCAAAGTATAGATTTCAACCTCGAACCTCAAAACCGGATACCTTTGGTCATCTAACTCTTAAAAAAGTTCAAATTTCAAATTTTATACTAGCGCTTACCGCATTAGAGCACTAATATATTATTTGTATGGAGTTAAATGAAAATACTTTTTATACCAAAGTTGTAGCTCTCAATGAGATCTACAACTTTGTAGTTTTGAGTTTTTTCATTTGAGGACGTTAAGATGCTTAAAAAAATAATATAAAATTTCGGCACCTCCTAAAAATATTAAGAAGTACTGTTCATACGCAAAACCTCCCAGAAATTTGAAATTTGAACTTTTTCAAGAGTTGGAGGGCCAAAGTTATCCGGTTTTGAAGTTCGAGGTTGAAATCTATACTTTGGCGATAGGTGTAGGGTGTAAATTGTACTTTACCCTATTTTAAAAAGCCATAGTCACTGACTGTCCGACGTAAGGTTACAGTCCTACTAAATTTTATTTTCCCAAAACACAGAACAGAGACGCTTACATATACGCAGATACACTTATGTCTGTTACCGCACTCGGGAGTTTTTTTTTCTTCTGTTCCTATGTTTTTTCTGCGAAATTGAAATGATTCCTATAAAATTCTTATATGATTTCTGTGAAATTCATACGTTCTAAATCGGCCTATAATTTGTGTATATGAGCATCTTCGAGAGACTAATTCAACATATATGGTCAATCCTGATTTTACTTAATCATAAGTGTGAGCATCATTTTGAAGAGTGTACCGTGGCACCATATTTTCAGTTGTGTATGTACATTGTACGGTTCAAATTACCACTACATAAATGAAAACCATGTAAAAGTCCTTATAACTTTCAAAATTATAAACACGTAAAAAGCCTAATTACCCCTATGCTCAAGAAATCTAGATATATCCGCTACTTCAATAACCATTTTTTAGAGCCGGTGGAAAAAGCTACAGAGGTACGCAAGTCGCCCGCTTATGCTTATGTAGATCTATGTTAATCATCATTTTCAGAGGTGATGCTTTATGCCCAATAACAAAAAAAAAAAAGATAACAAGCTAGTCAACAAGCTGTTGAACCCATCAACGAGGCCCATTCATCCCAATTAACATGCCGCCGACAAAGCAAGCACTATTGCGCACCACGGCACAGTCGACTAGGTCGACCTCATTGTTGTAGGTCGTCGAATCCATGCCGCACAACCACCATGTTGCTGCCTCAACATCACTGCAAGTCCGGGTCAAATTCATCTCCTCCTTAGTCCCACTTGCGCCCCACGAATGGGTAAATAATTCTTCATATAATCAGTCATGTTTGATTAAAATTTGATTATATAGTATGATTATAGAGCCTCTATAAATGGGTCCCTTGTCTAAAAATTGCTAAGTATTTTCTCGAGGATAGGAAGCTTTTTTTTACTACCTGTGCTAATAAAAAAAAAAAGCTATCTTCTGAAATATGCTTCTGCAGTTTGCTTGATCTGCTGATCGATCAGAATCGGAAGCAACCTCAGGAATCAGGGAGGAATCAAATCTCGAGGTAAAACATGGGTCCACATATCTATACCATACATAGTACGGCAGTAGCACTATTTATAACAGCAGCCACACTGCACTATACACACCACGCCTAGCTCGTGTGAAGCGACAAGACCCACCTGTCATTTTCGGCTAAAAAACTGGCCACACAATGTGCGTTCTGATTTGGCTGTGGTCGTCGTGGTCACCGTATACCTGTCCCAACCACTTCCATGCGCTCTATGGAGGAATCTTCTCCGTTGGTCTTTCGGAAGAGTGGGTGACCGTTTCATTTGGACTCGTCTCAAGATGTTACCTGTGAAATGTGAGTCACGCTGTTGTTCTTCCGACATAAAACAATATATACTTGTATTACCACTACCTTGATGCAACGGAGACATTACATAGTTTTGAAGTTTATTTATCTTCGACATATAATTAGTGCTACTACTAGATAAAAACAAAAAGATCGAATAGCCTCTCAACGTGCATGCCCAAGGTGCTCGCCCGCTTGCTCATCTCGGTCCCCTATTACCATTTTCACGTTTGCTCTCATGCCATCGTCCTACCACGCCCGTTTCTGTTAGCACCATTAGTACCTCCACTGCAGTACTCAACCATGGTTGTCCTTAGCCGGAGTCTTCTTTTTCAAATCTGGCTTGAGCACCCTATCTCCACCACCCCCGCCGGCTCTGGTGGCACACCACCGCCTTTACCAACGTCCCCTATCGCGGCCATCATTATTCCTAGCCACGTCCTCCTTTCCTCTCTTGCTAATGCCCCCGCTATTTGTACCGTTCAAATGGCCCCTCCCACTACCTAGTGGGTGGCGCTGTGCTAACCCCACCCTCACTGCTATCTCGATCGCTACCACCGTCAGTCCGTCGGCCTCTCGGCAACCCCTTCTAAGCCCAGTAACACGAATACCGTCGGAGTCAGACAGGGTAGGGCAGCAACAAAAGTCCATGAAAGAAGAAAATAGGGGCGAGGGAGAAGGAGGTGAGCCGACGGGTATGTGTCAGGATGGGCAACCACTCCTTACTACCACTCTTCTTTATTTTCTTCAATCATTGCCCATCCTTCTTTGGAAATAACAAACAGTTGATGCCAATAGGGGGCTCTCACTCTCCCACCTCGTATAACTAAACTTACGTCTCCTCTCTACAAGCATGTGAATATCGTTGAGAACTTATTAAAATAAAGAAAATGCAAATGTGGGACATATAATACTAGGAAAATATAGAAAAATGCAATGTAAAGCTAACAGAATTTGCGACAAAAGCACAAGGTCAATATATGTTAACGCTATTACTATAATCTAATCGGATGAAATACTCACTACAACTTATTTTTCTATTTTATTAATTAACATATTTATAATTACACACCACCTCCGTACCATAAAGAGGTATGAGTTTGTCATAAGTTAAATTATCATACGTTTGCAAACTAAGCATAGCTCGGTTACTTGATTAGATTCATTGTGGTGGAATTTGTCCATCCGAGTTTAAATACTCAACATAATTTGGATGCTCCTTTTTCCTCGATTTATTTTGTGATTTTAGTGGTAGGCAAACATCAGCAACTTGTAACTTTGTCAATCTTAAGATCCATCGGCCAGTATCTCAATGATGCTCACAAGAGTAATGTTACGTCTTTGTCAAAAAAAAATCATAATCTTAGGCCCCCTTTGGAACGTTTTTCTTGCGAAAAATGAAGTGAATCCAATGAAACTCCTATGAAATTCCTGCATTCCAAAGTGACCGTTAGCCAAGTTTATAGAGAAAAATATTAACATCTGCATGATAAAAGAGGTAAACTGTAAAACTTGAACCCTTATATTATGGATGCAGTATTCGCTATTGATATGGTTACAGACAAATTTGTAGCCATGCTTTATATAAATATAAGTATAGGCATAACTAAGCGGATCGGAAACAAGCGTGATTGTCATGCTTGATACATACTGCACAGTATTAATTTAACATATTCATAAAATTGGAAATATATTAATATTTGATCTCTGCAGTTGTATAAGCATACAATATATATATTTTTTGTTATACAGAGCCTTCTTTTTTTTGTTATACCTACCAGAAAAAAAGGAATAAAAGGCTGTCCAGAAGACATTTAGTACAGAATGTCTCTGGTTTTTTTTTTTTTTTTTGTTTTGAAGAGTCACCAGGTCACGGGTTCGAAGTAGCCTCTCCGTAGATTTTGCGGGGGAGCCTCCGGCATTGGCTCTGCCCCCTTTGAAAGGGTCTCTGTGTGTTTTCTGTTACTGACCTTTCAGGTCAAGATCAAACGGACTTGGCAACGGGAACTGCAGTGAACGGATATGGTGACTTCCTTGTAATTATCTGTAACGAAACAAACCTTTCTTCCACAGTTGGAACATACTTGACTGACTAGTACACACACTAAGAAGTCCGTGAGCACATCAGTTGTAAGTTGTAACGATCATGAAAGTAGGCAGAGGTTTCACGCAACTTTCATGTGAAGAAGCAGCTAGACCAACAAAGAAATTGCCGGGCCAAAGGATGCTAGTCCAGTTGGTTAGCAGTTCCAAAGGCACCTACAGGTTCTGAGTTTGAACTCCGATGGGAGTAAATTTTAGGCTGAGGTAAAAAAATCCTCTCGCTCACTCGCCCTAAACCAAAGCACAGATTAAGAGATGGCCTTTCTCACGGGTGATGGCTCCCTGTGTATGGATGGGACGGGGGTTCAGGAATTTTGTGTGAAAAGACCTTCTTCTTAATCACGATACGGTGGGGGTGGTCTGGACTCTGCAGGCCTGAGTTTTTTTTAAGAAATCGCCGGTCACCAAACCATGCAAGGCCTGCCCTTCAATTTGTTAGTGGAAATACGCGTCAGTGGTCAGTGGTCACTGGTGGGAAGGAAAGCTCCAAGACGAGACTGACTCGACCGTGTGACCTCGCATGGACCAGACCAGCACATTGTGTGGTTTGGTCACAGGTCAGCACTGTGCTGTTACACACACACCAATGGCAAGCGTGGTTGGAATCAGAAATCTGAAAAAAAAACAGCTAGTTAGCCAACATGGGCTCTGAATAAGACAGCTGACTGGGAGTGGT